TACCAATGAAGCTGAAAGGCAAGTTTTATAAGATAGCTGTGAGACCAATTTTACTCTATGGGGTAGAATGTTGGCCAAATAAAAAAACAATATACCCATAGAGTGAGTGTAGTAGATGAAGATATTGAGATGGATGAGTGACAAGATAAGAAAGGATAAAATTCGAAATGAATCCATTCAAGAGAGTTTAGGTGTGGCACCAATAGGCTATAAGATAAGATAGAGTAGGCCTATGTGGGCTGATCATGTGTGGCGTCGAGTACAACACCTGTTAGGAGGTGTCAGTTAGTTCAAGTGGAAGGACTAAAAATGACAAGGGATAGTTGGAAGTAATTCGAAAAATATGAAGACTTATTGCATCACTGAAGGTATGACCTTTAATCGAGCATAATAGCATACCATGATTCGTGTAGCCGATTCCAATTAATTGAAAAAAAACTATGATAACGATTCTTTATCTTTCTGTTTAAATTCAATCCAACATATTTGACCACAAATCGAATTTGTTTTGATTGAACATGCCCCACACTAATTTGATCTACAAATGGCTATTACTCTTTTTGGGTTTGTTGTCTATTGAGGTTTAATAGGCATAAGAGCAAAGCTCGTCCAAAATCTCGTATTCGACAACAATTCCATAAGACAAATACGGCCCAAAGTAACCATTGTTTTGCCCGAAACCAAAAATGCCCCGGTAGTAATATAATGCATTTTTTCTGTTTTTGGTAATTCAATGGGGAAGACAAACCTCTACCCGTTCTTTCAAATAAATTAAAGAGTTCCGTTTTTTTTTTTGCTGGAGGTGTTAATAGGTGGTGTAAGCGGGATTGAAAACTACAACATAGTAACTAGGTAAAGGGGTGCTACCACCGCAACCTAGCCCCTTTCCTATAATGCATTCACTCTCTCAAACAAACTCTAGTTAGGAATATTTTAAGGACCTTTTTGTTTTTGGGTTAATTCAGTGAGGAAGTCAGCCTCTACCTGTTTTTTCAATTAGATTAGAAGTTAGCTTTTTGAAGATATTAGTGGGGTGGTGGTAGTGGTGAGAATAAAAACCACACGAGGTGACATAGGTGTGGGATGCTACCAACTCAAGCAAAATATACTATAATTTTAGAAAAATAAATCATATGCCTCATCCCACATCCATTTCCACCGTTAATAATTATACACATTTTATATATGCCTCAACAAAGGCATTAAGATCGAACAGAAACAATTTAAAATATGGAGATCCCGATCTAAGTTTTTAGAAACACAACGTTCATTTTTGTTCTTGAAAGTATTCATTATGGTGCGTTTTGCTTGCATAAAAATATTTTTTGAAAAATATTTTTATGTAGATTTATTCCCTCATGTGGTTAGATATGAAAATATTTTCACACAAAATTAGATAACAATTTGTGTGAAAAGATGCATTGAAACCGATTGATATGAAAGTATTTCCACATGTAACCATACGAGAGAATTCTTTCGCCTTAAGTTTTTATCCCAAAATTTGAGGTGGAGAAAATCCTCGTAAATCAGTCTTTTGCCTTGGGGGGAATGTACTATGTGCTCTTGCTGAGAATGCTACACATGCTCATCATAAATTCTTATTCCTGTTTCATAGATCATATGGCTGTTGAGGAGCGCCACGTTACCATACAATACACAGACCAGTAATCCACACCGACGTCTGTAAAAATGAGGCCTCAACCTAACTGTCCATTGAGGAAGACTGACGGTGCAAGACCATTATTCAGTGTACCTTGTAACATAATTATCACTCGACTGGTCAGTACTATAACCATTGAGTAGTGCTTTGGCTAGTTTGTTTGCCGTAAAATTTGGTTTATCTGAAAACTTATCAAAATTAGTATTTGATTGATTTTGGTTAATGGGACGATTTTTTCTAACAGGCCAAATAAATTCATAAAACTTTTACTAATGTATTTTATTTTTGAAAAAATTACTTAAATATTTATTTTAGTTTATGATACTATCAAAATACCGAATCTTTTTTGGTATTACTTATATGATCGTTTTTTGAACTCCATAACAATTTTTTTTAAAAAAAAACCGAAACTATTAATTTTCGATTTTTCAAAAATCGAAATGCGATCAATTTCAATTTTTGAAATACAGGAAAATTTCAAATTTTCACGAACCTAAATTTATTTTATGTTTTACGGGTCCTCTGCTTATTATGTCTCCTCTGCATATTCCCCCTTCTCCGTCTGTTTTTGGGTTTTCTCCATTTCCAATATACAATGGGTTCCTACAACAATAACACTAATTCCACCAACTTTGATAACCTACTTCGTAGAACCCTAATGGGCAGGCTTCAGCTTCGCCCCCTTACGTTAACACTAACTCCTTTCTCTCTCAAAACCTCGATCACTTCTTAGTGGAAGCCACAATCGATGACGATGAAAAAAAAACCCCTCTAGCTAAAGAGGAATTGAACCTGGAGAGAGAAATCGTCAGGCTCATTCACAGTGGAAACACTGAAACCGTGAAAACCAATTCGGATCAGGGAACACCATGTCTGTGTTGGTTTCCATGCAGACCCAGGCTCTGAGTATAGGGTGTGGACATATGATGCTTTTTGATGAGGAAAATGGGTACTCCCCAGAGTACATTTACGGGAACTATTTTGAAAGGGCTCCGAGTTTAGGAGAAAGAAAGTGATGGAGAGAGTGAGAACGTGGGCCTTCGGTGAGTTGATTGGAGATGTGGGTTCTGATGGCAAAGTCGGCTTTGCCAAATCGTTTACATGGTTTCTTCGTGGAAGAGAGAGAGAGGTAGAGAGAATACACATAGAACTCCCCCAAAAGAGAGAAAAATTTTCATTCTTAAAAATCAGAAAATTTTAAATTTTCATAAACGAAAGTTTTGGCTTGATTTTTTGGTTTTTGAAAACCCCAAAATGGGTGGTTTCATCTTCTTTTTTTTTTTTTCTTTTTTAATTATTATGAAGTCCAAAAATAGTAATAACAGAAACTATTAACATAAACTAAAACAGATATTTATGTAATTTTCATTTCTTTTTTAACTATAGTTCTTATTTTTTAAAAAATTTGGTTACGCCAAAACAAGTTCGGTCTAAACCCAATACCTAGGAACTATTTTTCTTTAATAAAATATTCTCCTAAGATGCATAATAACCGTCAGTGCCTTTTAAGGTCGTTGTTTCAGAAGCAGCTTAGCCTTTAGCTAGCGAATCCGGGTTAAAATATGATCTTTTAATTTATTTTTTTTTCTTTTCAAATTCCTTAAAAACCGATTTTTTCAAAAGATATTCAAAACTCATGATTTTTCTAAATTAATATAAACATGCATATTATTTTTTTGAATTATATACAATGAGACCATTTACCTTTGGTATAGAGAGATCACAATTAATTATAATCATCCGATGTGAAATCTGATAGCTTAGGTATGTCACAAAGTTCGAAATTTTTTTTAAAAAACTTTGAGTTTGGTCTATAAAATAAATACAACACCTTGTACCAAAGGTAAATGGTCTCATTATATACTTTCCCTTATTTTTTTTCACAAAACTTTTCTAGGAAAATATTTTCCTTACACTCATCTTTCAAACATTCTTGATAGTTCCATTCTCTCCATTGATTAACATTTAAAATTCAACTAAATAAAATTTCTTAATTTAACAAAAAGTTTCATCAAAAATTTCACGAGCGTATTCCCAAAAAAGAATTGAGAAAATTATGTACATATCCATTATAGTTTCTGTTATTACGGCTCTATCGAATAGTTTCGGTTATTACCATCGTGTCCGTTTTTTTCATGTCAAAACAAAATTTTTTTTAAAAAATAGACTTTACCTTTTTTCGATAGTTGAACAACCAAATTCAAAGTATTTTTTATTGTTCAATAACTGAAAATACACCAATTGCGGTTCTTGAAGGACCGAAATTTTAAATTTTCGGTTCTTCAATAACCGAAAAGTATTCGCTCTCTTGTAGCGTATTTTCTATTTTCTCTCTTGTAGCGCATTTTCTCTACCTCTCTAAATCATAGTTATTCGATAAAATCAAAAGGGAACCACTAATTTGAGTCCCTAAATTTAGGGGAAATCTTAGGGATAACCATGACTTCAAAGAGAAATAGAGCGAATACACCGAAAGATTTCTCCTACTCTTCTAATCTCATAATCTCTAAGATTTATCCTAAATTTAGAGCTCAAACTAGTTGTTCCCTTTTAATTTTATCGGATAACTATGACTTCAAAGAGGTAGAGAAAATAAGCGAGAGAAAACATTAAAAACCGAAAATTGGTGGTTAACAATCAAAATTAGTGTATTTTAAAATAAAATCGGTTTTTTTTTTAATTTCTGTTTTGACATGAAAAAAAAAAAAGACACGGTGGTAAAAACAGAAACTATTTGATAGAACCATAATAACGAAAACTATAATAGATATATATGTATTTTTCTTAAAAAACAAAAGTATCGCCACCAAAAAAATAAAAAAAAAACAGATTTCCAAATATAGCTAGAGGTAAAGGAAGGGTAACCCAATGAAAATGCTTATTTTCTCTAAACTAAGAGCACCAAAACAAGACTAAAGTGTGATCTAGCCAAAAAGCTAAACTCTTGCAACTGGAAATTAGGGGTGAGTTTCAAATACTGGGCCTTCCATATATTTCTAGCTATAAGTAAGCCCTGCATTAATTTCTATTTACAAATAAATTTGATTAAATTCAAGTTTTTCAGGTGTTTCTCATTTCATACGCGCACACCACACAACTTTGAAAGATCACTGCTCCATATTTTCAAATTCTTTGTTGTTTATACTAATTGCAATCCTAAATTTTTTTTTTTTTTTTTTTGGGGTTAACAGCAATTTAAACCTTAGCTTGATCTTGTTTGTTAAATATAATTCATTTGTTTAGTATCTTTTTTATTGTTTCATTTTATGCTACCAATAAAATCATTATACATTTTGTATCATGCCATAACAGGAAGCATACCGATTTTGGGACCAAAATATGCCAAGATAAAGGAACATTTCCTTTTTCTTCTTTAGATAAATAAAGAAACAATAACATTTCTTCACCATCAAAATGATGTTATATACAACTCTTAATTACTAAAAATCATCCGAATAAAATCAGAAATGGAAGAAAAGCGAAGAGGAAGGATCAGTTGTAACCCGCCTTTAGAGAGAGATATGGCAAACCTGTGATCAATGAATACAAAAATATGGAATTATACATCGGCAAAAATGTGAACTCGGCAAAACTGTGAACACGGGGTTTTCCAATCCGACCCACGAGTCAGAAGACATCCTCCAGGGCTTGCTGGCTCTTGCTCTTCGTAATGCCTCTGGGTCGGCCGATATACTTCACATTTTTACTCGATAAATACTTAATAGCCATATCCATAGTAATTGTCTGAGGCTCCACATTCTGCAAACACAAAAATTGAACATTTGACATACCGATACAATTACAAATATGGACATATTAGATGTAAATTGGCTATGTGAACGCAACACGATGCTTGTGTGCAGTATCATGATGTACATATATACATGGGAAATTTAGTTAGCCATGACAACTAGGAATGGGAAATTATATGTAAACTGTGCATATATTCCTTGTCAACTAGGAATCGACAGTAGATGGGTGAGAGGGACCCATCATTAGGGTGATTTCAGATAGGTTGCTTGCTTAACACATAAGGGCCCCGTTCTAAGAGTATGTGCTCATACGCAAAGTTCATAAAACCAGGGTAAATAGAGAAAAAAGCAAACGAAATGTTGCAGAAGAGATATTTTTCCTATAACTTTGCAACATATGAAAATTGTATCACTGATTTACAGAAATGACACTAAAAAGAAATTACTTTTGATGTCCTACATTACATAGCAAAACTTCTGAGAACTATTCATCTCAATAAATTGCATTCATGATATGTACCTTGGGTACTGGTACAATGTTATGTCGGTGCCTAATAGCGAATCCAAACTTTGAGATTCTCAGAACAACTGGATAATTATCTTTGGGATGATCACCCTGCATTAGAGAGAAGTATTTAAGATCATTTAAACAAACATAAGCACTCGTGAATTTGCTCAAAGCATACAATAACTCAAGAAATATGGATGGACTCGCAAGAACACACCAAAGTCACAGGGTATTTTAGCAACTCAAGAGCATCCTCCAAGGTGATGGACTCGACATCCTTAAACTGCGAAATCAATAAAAGAGGACATGATGACATCAGATATCATGTATTTCACAAATTACAGATATCTTTATGAAGAAAGATGCACATGAAATATAAACAGGATCCTGGCATAATGGTGAGAGATAAATCCTCAACAACCTTGTGCCTTTGTGATATTATTTCCCCAGCAAACATATATTTCAGTATTAAAGTATCTTCGTTTTCAAACTTCATGGACGTGTGTGCAATGATTGCTTCAGTAAATGTTAATGCCAACATTATACAACAAATGTCCTAGCATACGGCTCCATTTGTTGTCGATCCATTCAATTCCCATTTCATGAGGAAACTCAAGAGTGACGCTCTTGCATTATATACAACCATATCCCAAATCGATTCATTCATATCCCTTGGTTCCATCGAAAAATGAGAGAACCTATGCCTACATAATCATAGAGTGCTAGGAGAATTCCATCATTTTAACATTTTTGTTCTTCTGTTAGAGAGGGCTTCTAGAGCCTGCAAATCAGGTTAGACAATTCTTAATCACAATTCCCAAGCTAAATCAATCAGATCAAGACACATAAATTTAATGCTATATGGGAACAAATGCTAAGTTCAAAGGAAGAAGCAAAAGACATCCCAAAAAACACTAAATAGTCAAAGTGTACTAAGGTGCTTTCAGGAGACCCATCTTTCAGATGCAGAAAATGCTGTGTAAGGACAAAAATGCTCGTCTCCCCCTTCTTTCTAGCGGGCAGAACTGCATCACGAGGATAATCCCAAATGCTCTTCTCCCCTTTCTTTCTAGGGGGCGGAACTGCATCAAGAGGATAATCCCACCCCCTCCGCCAAGTAAAACAAAACTTTGAATGTTTCCGAAGACCACCATAATTTCTTCACTAAAACTCAATCATGACACCTGGTGCTGCAACTTCCCCATTGCTGATATTGTTTCTTCCCTATTTGTGTTTTTCCTTGTAGAATTTTTTGGTTTTAGGGTTACCAGAAATCCTTCTAGTAAGGCCATTTTGGATGCCTAATTTGTAATAATGTTTTGGATTTTTGGTGTTCATCTTTGAATCAAGGTCCTTGATTACTAGGGCAAGTCATCAAAATTTCAGGGTAGAGGTCCTTAAAATTCTGAAAACATGGGCCATTCTGAGAGTGGCCCTTTTTATTTTTATTTTTGGATTTGTTAACAATGGGAATGGAGGGCGGAGCGTTATGTTCAGGCATCCGCCCCCCTAACCACCTTTGATTGTGAGATTTGAGTTTTAGGGAACGTTTGGTAACTGGAAGCTGGGTATTCCCTGGAACCTCGGAGTTCTAGTTCCCTAGAAGCTAGATTTGTTGATATCTGGAAATTTTGGAATACTTGGTTGATAATCCGTCTGTAAATTCTTGAATACATAAATAAGGCTTCATAATAATCTAAAAAAACTTCACAAAGATCAGGCTTCACAGCTTTACAGAGAGGCAAAGAGATAGAGGATACAGTTAGAGGGAGAGAGGACTTAGCGAGAGGACACAGTTCGAGAGATAAAGGGCATATTTAGAGAAAGGCATCGAGAGAGAAACAATATGGACAAAGGACACAATTAGGGAGAGAAAGGGTAGATTTAGAGAAAGAAGGGCATGATTAGATAGAGGAATTAGAGAGAGAAAAAGGACAAAGTTAGAGAGAGCAGAGGCATTGTTAGAAAGAGGAGATATAAAGAGAAAGGGCATGGTTAGAGAGAGAAAGGAATTCGTGAAAAGGCATGTTGAGAGAGAGAGAGACAGAGAGAGAGAGAGAGAGAGGTCACAGAATGAAAGAAAAGGTACTTGGAGAAAAGGAATAGTTAGAGAGAGAGGAGTTAGAGAAAGGCACAGTTAGTGACAGAAAGGGCGCGGTTAGAGAAAGAGGACTTTGTGAGAAAAACACATGGTTAGAGCGAGAAAGAAGTTAGAGAGGATGGAAGCGAGGAAAATATAAAAATAGAAGACACTTTTCAAAATACAGGATATGCGAACTTCCATAGGGGATATTGAAAGTATGGCTATGTATGATTCCCAAGGTGTGAATTAAAAAATTTTCTCTTTCCTTTTATTAACAACCGGGTAATTCTACTTATAATGCCAAATTATACAGCAGAAGCAAAAAATAAAACCTAAATACTACCTATGGATCTTAGCTCTTACTACCTCTATGTAGGAAAAGGAAATTTAATTCGTAAAGACAAACTGAATTCAACTACAAGTAGAATTCCAAGTCAATAGAAATCCTAATTAAAAAGGAAATCGAGAACAATAAACTAAGAATTAAAACTGAAAATAAACAAGAAAAGCTGGGAAGGCTTATTTGGACTGTGCCCACGGTCACCCCCGTAGGACTTAGCGCAACTCACACCCGATTACCAGACCAATGGCACAATGATACTTGGCCTTGCTTGATCCCTCCAAATCTGGGAAGCACCTATGGCAACACCCTCTCACAAAACCAGGATTTCTTTTCGACCTTAAAACTAGAACTCCCACAGCAAAATGGGCCAGAAGTGCCTCCTCTCAGAGTGGCATGCTACCCTCTTATGGCCCTGCCTCACCAGGTGCGGCATCACCGACGAGGCTAGGGAGATAGAGAGAGATGGGGTAGGCAGCAAGTTGGGCCTAGTTAGCGGGCCAAAGCAGGAGGATTGGAAGGATGTTTGGGCTTACAGATGGGGCAGGCAGGTTAGAAGTAATGTGGGGACGTCTGGATGGGTTCAGCAGCAGAAGGTTTTCTTTTTTGCCTATGGGGCATTGTACGGAGCAGAAGGTTATCTCAGTAAAAACTTCACTTGTATGCTTACCTAATTAAAAAGGTATCTTGAAGATACACACTGCAAATTAATGCAATTTCTTGTAGAAGCGTCATTCGCAACCCTCTCCAAGATTTACGTATTGTTTTGTGTGGAGTAGGAATTTAAATTCATGCTTAAAACTCATTACCTAGAACTCCAAATGCCCTCTTGGACCCCCACTCATATAAAATAGATTATTATTGTAATGTTTTTTTGAAGCTGCACTCATATTCATGCAGGGCAATATTATAATTATTTTTAATTTCTATTCAACTTTAAAGGATTATATTTTGATTTTAGTTTTAGGATTTATATTTAGGATTTTTACTTTTTTAAGAATTCTACGGTTTTTGTAGTGTTTTTATTTATTCCATGAGTACTATTCACAAGTACTATTCACGAGTACTGTTTATGGGTACTGTTCATAAAGGGTAAAAATGTCATTAATACTATTCAGGAGTACTATTCACAAGGACTGTTCAAACATACTTGTGAAGTATACTTCACAAAAAACACTACAATACACCTATAGGTGAAGTACTGTAGAACTTCAAAAACACTACAATACACCTATAAATGAAGTTCTACAGTACTTCACCTATGGCTTTATCATCGTCCAAAGTTCATCACACGATTACTGATGTCTGATAGTGTTTCAATTTTAATATTTTTTTTACAAATCTTAATGATCTGAAATTTTGTATGTGCGTGTGCCTTAGTGAGATGCACATGAATAAAATATAAAACAAATAATTTGAATGATAAAAATTGCACAAAATACACTTATAAAGTGTCAAGGGTAATTTCACCATTTTATTTTATGTTTATTATTTTTTAAATATTTTATTTTGGTGCGACTTGGTCATTTGTACACACGCCCCAAATTTTAGATAAATCTAATTAATACAATAATTATAAAAATTCAAATACCACCAGACAATTGTGACTGTGTGATGAACTTTGGATGGTGATGAGGTGTAGGTGAAGTACGGTAGAACTTCACCTATAAG